ATTTCTACCCGACAGGCTCGTCTGTAGTGAAAGACCCACTGCTTAAAATTCAAGAGCCTCCATTAAACTGCAGGTTGGGGTAGATGATCAGATTGTTGCTTTGAGCCTTAAAGCTTGTGGGAGCACCGCCATTTATTTCTCTTATCTCCCAGCACGGGCCCTCAGAATTGCTCTCTCTGGCGATGGCCTATTTCCAAAAGTCTCTTCTAGCAGCAATTAGCAATGAAGTGGGGGGCTGCACCCCCCAGGAACCGAGCACTGTGGAGTGGCGCCTGGTTTCAAGCTTTGCTCCGTGGGGTGGAAGCACAAGCTATATCTTTTCTTCACCCTGGGCTGAATCTGGCTACTGTGACTGTCCCCTGTTTTGGCACATGCTGGCTTTCAGGTGCTACAGGATTGTACCATGACACAGGTCAGGCCCCCATCCCAAAATATTGATACCCCTTGGGGCGGCCTTGTGCAGCTCCCCCCCACGCTACAGATATTTTGGGGGGCCTCATCTGGCCCAAAATGGGCCATGCTCCCTACGCTGCTCTGAGCACGGGCTGCACCCCAGCGCCGCAGGGCTGATCGTTCTCCCTCATTACCAGCGCTGTGTATGCAAGTAGCGTGAGGAGCAGAGCCAACAGTAAGTTAGCGCTGGCTGTGTCCCATGCTAATGTTGTTCTTACTATTTCAGTGCCATCCTCCTTATTTCCACCCTCTCCCTGAACAACTAAATTAATTAGAGTGATTTTTTTTTATTTAAATACTGTCGTGGAATAATAATTCTGGTGAATTCATTTTTTTTTTTGTCATTCCCCACTGCTGCTTTTCTCTGTTGAACTCTCTTCTAATACACTGTTGATATTTTGTTATAGCTATGCAAGATCACAGCTGTTGTCTGAAAAAAAAAGAGAGTAAAATCATGCTATGTGCTGTTGCCATCCAACAACCATTTTTCTTCCTCCACCAGCTCACAAAAAACCCCTTTCCCTATTAAGTGCAGGAGCATACATTTTTCCTGGCTTATAAAAAGCCAAAAAACCTCACAGCAGCTTTAGTGAAGTTGCAGCAATGTAAGGAAGCCGAAGCCCCTACGACAGGCTGGAGCCCTGTCCTGAGCCTGTTATGAAGTCAGATCCTGCAAGTCTTGGATCCCAGGAGTGACTCCACACAGGCAGCAGGTCTGTGGGCATCACCCACTCCTGAGCTTTATTAGTCACTGAGTTATGTTTACCTGGACGTGTTCATTTGACCTATAAACACTTTCTGGTCCGATCCAGTAACAAAACCACTCCTGTGGTAGTCATGAAAGGACAAAAAAAAATCCAATTAGACCCTGAATTTATATTTACGGTAGTGGTCAGGGCTGCGAGAACCATTGCTTAACATTGGCCCTTCTGGACAGCTTTCCTCGGCCCCTGCCAGACCTTTTGTGATCCTGCAAGTGCAGCCCTCAGTGGTCATTTGCATCAAGACCAAAGCTAAGCAAAGATCAGGCTGGAGAAGCACTGTGTTCACATCAGCAGCACAAAGTGATAAATGAAGGAGAGCCAGGATGGAGATTTGAATCGTCGTCTCCAGGTCCACAGCTCCAATTACAAAACTGATTTGAATCAGTCTCACAATCCACATAACCAATTATGAAATTCCTCCTTGACTCCCTGGCCCTGGACTTGTTTAGTGATTGCACTGCGTATACCTTGTGTCTGTAATATTTCAGAGCATTTTTAAATTAAGCTCAGTTGAGGCCCACGCAGTTCCAATTAACACAATACGTGCTGCGTGATCGCTCCGGCAGGGCTTGCCCGGCACTGTTGCTCCCTGTTGCCTCGAACAAAGGTTATTAGGGTGGCTGAAGTGAGATTGCATTAAAGTGAGATGAAAAGCTTGTTTTCCCCCAGACTGCAGCATTCATCTCTCACTCCTGGAGAGGTGACGTGCAGCGGTACGCAGAGCGCTCCTCTGTCCCTTCCAGGGACACCAGGGTCAGTGTTTTCAACAATCTTACCTCCCTGCTCAGACCAAAGAAAGGACCGAGCTTGTTGGCTGCCTGGTGTTTTTTGAAAGCAGAGTCACGTAAAGCAAAAATTTCTGAGAGGATTCAGAGAGGGTTGGCTGCCCCCCAGACAATGGGGGGGCACTTGCTACTATACCCATCCATCGTCAGGGTGAAGATTACCGCAAATACTGAAGACAGGGGAGTGTCCCCATCCTTTCCCTGATGTGTGCAGTGTGCTCATAATCTTTAAGATGGATTTTATCAATTGTTCTCTTAGGCGGAGCTCTATTTCTGGTCACCGCTGGAACGAGAATCAACCCTCCTCGGGGAGGCAAAGGGGCGATGAGAAACCTGGAGCTGGTGTTCAGAGGCCGGATAGTATTAGCCATCACATTTATCACCCTGAAATTGAGCCTGGGGTGTGTCCTTCCTCCGAAGGGGACAGGTTGAATCTGTGAGGCTCCACAGGGAGTAGGGACATCTGTAAAGTGGCACGAAAGGTAATTCAGCCCCTGGTGATGTTATATACAACCTCCTTGCCAGATGCTTCAACCCCCTAAACAGTTGTAACTGCTTCTCCACAGGTTTCAATTAAATTCCCTTAAGTATGTAAACTTTGGCTTGTTTGAACCAATACCTACAGACTTGATTGCAATAGCAGATGTTTTATTTTTACCTGCAAGTGAAAACAGGGAGCGTGTATCATGGCCATGACACATTTTGCATGAAGCAGATGTTTCTATTAATGCCAGAATTGGGTGGAAATTCAAAGGATGCAACTCGCTGAAGTATTCCAATGAATCACTTCCTTTTTTTTTTTTTTTTTTTATTAGTAGGCTCTAAAGGGACAAAAGAATAGCTTTGTATCAGTCTCCCTCAATTAAATGTAAAGTACATCTGGACAGAGTCTGAAGATCCATCTTTCACTGGCAGTTGCAAAGCCATCGACATAATAAAATAATACTCTGATTGGTATTACAAGGCTGCATTTAAATCATTGGCATTCATGCTCTGAGTCCTTTGCAGGGAGCGCAAGCCCTCCATTAGAGAAAAGCTTAATTTTATACTGTGATCTGTATAAGATATGCAATGAAAATGAGAAAAGAAGAGCCTTTGCAGAGCTGGAGACATAATAATAGAAACTACAATGAATGTCTGGGCAGCTTTTGGGCAGCTTTTTCAGTTACTTATAAACTGCAGGTGTCAAATGCATTCTGGAAAGAAGCTGCATTCCAGTTTTAATTACAGTCAGCAGGTTGAGGCATAATTCAGGGTTTGATAATACCTTCAGTCCATAATAAAACTCCTCTTGCTACCAGTAAGAAGTTTACACCAAGACCAAGGAGAAAATGTGACCTCCTTGCAGTAGCTAAACTCCGAACTTCAGTATCCCACTGTAAAATCCTGAACACCCTTGATATTTAAAGTACCTATTCCTTGCGTGATTATCTCAGCAAGCCCTAGCATCAAATAGGAACTGAACTAGTAAAACTGCTCTGATGATTAGAGTGAGAAAGATGTGTCATTGCAGCTTTCATCTAAAGTTTCCTTTGGGTCAAATTAGCTTTGGGGGGAAAAAGAAAAAGCAAAAAAAAACCCTCTGGCTGGAATTGTGTGTGTGAACCCAAAACTGAGTGCCATGTGGGCCTTCCTGGGTCTCACAAGGTAAGTACGATCTGGCTTTATCGGCAATCTCTTTTACCAGCAACAGTAAGTTTATTGAGCTCAAAGAGTTTAAGTTCATTATGTGCTTGAAGAGCACCATATACATGAATGCCCTGACCCAAAACTGAGTCTTTGAGGCCTTATGCTGATACATACAATGAAGAGTAATATTAAACTCTTCTACCTATTAATGATTGTAGGGGAAAAAAGCAGGATGTGCCTGCTGGTGTGCTGAACTCAGCTACTGGGGGGCTGCTGCTCACAGGTAGGCAGAGGTCTCATTTAAAGCCAGTGGGCAGAGTCTTTGAAGGAGAAGCTAATTATGCCTTATTATGTGGGAAAACGCAGCTCTAGAGTTACAGGGGCAGCCATCACTCAGGTGTTGAGGAGGAAGGTCACTGAAAAGGAAGCAGAGAGGCAGAGCCTCCTGGCAGAGGGAGGTTTTTCTGAGCAAAGGAGATGCTCATTGCTTTTACTCTGGCTCAACAACCTTATGAAGCAAACTTCATATCAGAGGATTCAACCAATATAGCTGCCTCGTACCATTCTTCTGCTGTAATGGAGAAGCCCTGAAGAAGAAAGGGGCTGGTTGGTGGAATGATCTTCTGTTGGGTACCAAGAGCCAGGAACCACCTGGGACTAAATAAACTACAGGAACAAACTGAAACCACGGGAAGTGTTGACTTTTAAAATAATTCTATTTGTATTGACATAACCCACATATACAGATAAGCTTTATGTCATTACCAAAGATGGCCCCCAACAATGGCATACGTGACTCTCCATACATTAACACCTACGTCCTCACAACACCCCTGTGAGTTAGGGCAAGGCTATGAACCCCACTTCACTGGTGGGAAACCTGTCAAAACTGAGTGACTTTCTCATGGTCACCCAGAAAGCCTGTTGCTGAGCAACGAGTGGAGTGTGGGCTTTCAGAGAGGGTAGCCGTGGGGCTGGTTTTTTGTCAAACACCCTGTACTGCCGACAGCTCCTTTGCTCCATCATGGCCATTTCTGCTGTAAGCAAATGGCCACAAGCAGCAGGTGATGTCAAGGAAGTCCTCACAGGCATTAAAGTGATCATAAAACAAGAACTGGGGGGGAAAGAAAAAAAAAAAAAGAACCTGTGGAAAGACCAATCTGATTTGTAACCAAATGCCAGTCTTAAATGCCTACCATGATCCTAGTAACAAAATAAGTGTATATCAAAAAAAAAAAAAAAAGTACTTTAAGAAAATGTGACTTTTTATCGCCACCATCCTAGAATCACAGAAAACAGGTCTGGAAGAACCCCAAGGGGTCATCAGGTCTTTTCCCCAGCTTCCATGATCCCCTGTGGTTGGGTCCCTTCAATAGATGGAGCTTATGGTGCTAACTTGGCTACTTGTGTCAGAGCTGTCCAGCGTCACATCAGGACCTCCATCCGCGCCGTCAGGATCTGCTTGATCTTTAGCAAAGTTGATGAAAACCTAGAAGTTTAAAGGAAAACATTCAGTATGTGACAGCATAAAGAATTTATAATATGAATGAATATAAAAAAGGAATGGCTGTTTGTTTGACTGTGAGCCTGGACAAAGTGCTCAGGAATGGATTCACACTGGATTAGAGAACTGCAAATGTCGGGCTTCTATGGGCTAATGTAAATAAATGGATGTGCACTCCTGTACTGCTGAATTGACACCCGGGATGCAAAGGTAGACATACCTGCACAAAACCTGATTGTCCTGCAGCTCATGTTTCAAAAGTACTAGTGAGGTAATGCCCGTGTGGTAGCCCGTTTTGATCACAGTGTAATACAGCTATATTATTACTTTATAAACCCATCTGTCTATGTATAATTGACATCCGTGCACGCACAACTGCATATTACATAGACAGGTATATATAATCACATGTAACAGTCTTTGTTTGAACAGTATCTAATGAATACGTAAAATATTCTTACTAGAACACTACCTGCAATCACATTTGCATATACATAAATCCAAGCTGTCCTCCCACAAAACATGACTTGGGGCTTCCGGCAGTTTGTCTGCCTGTTTCTCTCACCACTGCCCCTTATTAAAACAATATTGAGGACCTCTTCCTCCAGATCTCTGTTTAACAATTTGTAGGATTACAAGGCTGCAGTTTTTGCTTCTGTCTCTGGGACAGGCCTAATATTTCAGATGCTGATGCTCAACAGGATGATTTCTTCTGCATAGCCTTTGCGGCATCCCTTCAGCTGATGTGTTTTCTACAAGATTCTAATGCCAGTGGGAATGTTCTTCTAAGGGAAAATGGAAGGAACTTAACCATGAAGCTAGGTTTGGAGTAATGCTAAATGAACTTACAACTCAAATACAGTACAAGAAAGAGTGAAATCAAGCAAATTGCCAGGATTGGTAGGAAAAGTCCACTGCCAGAAAGCCTAGCACTGGACTCAGGGGTGATTTGTAATCCTGCCCTTCATCCACACCCGCAAGGCTGCTGAAATCAGCAGTCACAGAGGGAAGAACAGATCCTTTATGCTACAGGCAGCTTTCTATGTGCGTTTTCCTAGCACCAGCACAGGTATCTGGAGGCAGTAGTACTGATAAAGTATCCCCAGGAGGAATATAGATGGAAATCCCTTTCAAAATGTAGTCGATTGTGTGCAGCAGTCCATTATGTGTAACCATCAGTCTGCTCCCCTGTTAACAGTTTTAAATGGATGGCCACACATCTTTAATTCCTTACCTCCTCTAACGTTGTTTGACTCACTGAGAAGTGCCTGATATTGAAGGCTGCTTTGCTGGCTTCCAGGAGATCGAATATATTTGCTACCCCTCCTGCAGAGACCGGAACGTGATACTCCACCATGCTGAAATGCTGATCCTGTGGGAACAGGAATGATGGGGTAAAGTTAAGAGGTTGCTGCTTATAAACAGCCAGCAGATCTGATGGCTGTTTGGCTGAGAACGAAAGCAAAGAGGAACTAAGCCATAGGAGAATGAAGGGGCAGAGGGTGTGTTCTGTCCTTCTGGCTCCCAAAGTTGAGAAATATTATTGTCCAGTATTGACTGGTGTTTCTCCATTGGAATTTTTTTGTGGTTTTGGTGACTGGGAGACGATAACTAAGTCCCAGAGCTGGAAGCTTGAGGGTAGCAATAGCATTTTCCAGCTCCAAGTCTGCTGTTTTGATTAATGCAGAGGTTGGGTTACAGGCAATGGATGGGATTCATGACTCAAGTTACTCTGGTTCTACAGTTATTCAGTTACTAGAAGCATCCGACCATGTCATTACCCACTGAATATGAATTGAGTCTCCATGTAGTCCAAGCTTCAGTGGGACCATTCATAGGGGCAGAGGGTCACCTAACAGCTGCCTTATAGGATCACCGCAGCTGTTTGGCTGAGGTTATTTAAGCCACCAAGGAACTTGGGTGCTCCAACCCTTGGACAACATGGCTGATAGCATTGACAAGCATGTGTGTATGAATCCCTTACACTCTGAGAGCATGGATCTATGTGCACACTATGTTACAAGGTGTCTATCTTGCAAGATCCTCTTGGTTAATTTGAAGGGATTGAGAGGGCCTCTCCTGAAAGCATTTGTCCTGCTTACCTTCAGGCATGTATTTGGAAAGTGTGACTTCATGAACTCTGTCAGCATCTCAGTGTTAACTGTGTTGCTATTTAAGTGCATCTTCACAGTGAATCCTCTTCCAAACCTAGGGGAAAAAGCAAATCACAATTAACACAGTAGGAAAGAGAAACAGATAAAGAAAATCCTTTGAGAGTGCTGCACAGCCTCTTTGGGGAAATCTAATCCAGGCAGAGTGCAGCTTGAATGGGGTCAGGGTTGTTAACTTGGAGTGAATCTTAATAAGAAGCCGAGCTATTGTGATAACTAATAAAATCGAAGCTCAACCCTAACATGCATTTCACATTTTCAGCAGTGAACAGATTACTTTGGGGAACACATTCCTGGGAAAAAAGGCTGTGAGAGAGTAGAAAGTGCATTAGTTAACACAGAATTTCAATGGTGTAGTAAGAAACATAAACCAGAAAATGATGTTATTTTGATGCCCTGTTAACAAAGGTCTCATGTTCTGAGCCCTCAAAGCTGTAGGTGTCGTGGTTTAATCCCAGTCGGCAACTGAGCACCACACAGCTGCTCGCTCACTCCACCCCCATGGGATGGGGGAGAGAATCATAAGAGTAAAAGTGGAAAAAACCCTCGTGGGTTGAGATACGAGCAGTTTAATAATTGAAATAAAATAATTAATAATAATAATAATACTGGAATATACAAAGCAAGTGATGCACGATGCAATTGCTTACCACCCGCTGACCGATGCCCAGCCAGTCCCTGAGCAGCAGCCCCCCAGCCAGCTTTCCCCTAGTTTATATACTGAGCATGACATCATATGGTATGGAATAGCCCTTTGGCCATCTGGGATCAGCTGTCCTGGCTGTGCCCCCTCCCAGCTTCTTGTGCATCTCCAGCCTTCTCAGTTGGTAGAGCATGAGAAGCTGAAAAGTCCTTGACTAGTGTAAGCACTACTTAGCAACAACTAAAGCATCAGTATGTTACCAACATTATTCTCATACTAAATCCAAAATACAGCACTATACCAGCTACTAGGAAGAAAAGTAACTCTATCCCAGCCGAAACCAGGACAGTATGTTAGTAACTCCATGTGCTGTTCAGTAAAAGTGAAATAGGTACATTTTACTGACCTGCTCTTGATATGCTGCAAAGAGCCAATACACTGAAAACTCCCATTCACCATAATAGCCAGCCTGGTACAGAGGGCTTCACATTCTTCCATGCTGAAAAAACAACAAAGAAACACTAATAAGTCATTGAGAAGGTATAAAACATAGTTATTTCAGTAATCGGAGGACATTACTGATCTTCCTTAAAGTGTTGTGGGTCTCTGTGGGCACCCACATTCAGCCACAACAAACCCCCAAACCTGTCATAGCTCGGTGCCCTGAAATTCTGCAAGGACCAACGGGGATTGTGAAGGATGGGCCTCTCCATACCTCCTGCAGACCCTGAAACCGGAGACAGGGCCAAACCAGCCCTACCTGTGGGATGTGAGTATCACCGAGCATTTGTTCTGCACTTCCTCACTGATGATTTTCCAAAGGTGGCGTTTAGCATTTGGATCCATTCCAGAGCTCGGTTCATCCTATTGGGAAAGACAGGACTGAATGTATATTTGCACACAAAATCTGATCTTCCTAACACTTGTGCTCTTTTTCGGTTCATCATTAGCATTATGTTTGCTAGCAAGGACCCACAGGAGAGCTTACACTGGTACAGATCCGGGAGAAGGATTATCTTCAATTGCGTTATGTATTTGACTGAGACATCCTAGCTCCCTTCAAGTGGAAGCAAGTCAGCTTGACTAAGACCTCCATCTTTGCTGCCCTATGGAACTGCACATCTGTGCAGTTCCACTGGTGACTGGTGGGAACTCTCAACCTCTGTTGCACTCTAGAGGAACTGAGGGCTGCGACAGCACCATCTAAGATCAACCCTACTGTGCCTTTTATACCATGGTGTTTTAAATATCCTTACACACCACAGGCATAACCTCAGACAAGAAGCTATCAACTGGCACTTGGTTCCCATGTGCACCTGCGCTTTGCCTCCCTCTCAATATGCTGACGAAGCAAGTGTTGCATTTCTCCATTTAGAGAGACAGTAAGCCAGAGATGAAGGATGGTATACTATCTCCTACCTTATGCATTGCTGATAAAATTGTTAGCCAATTTCTGATTGACAAGTTGTTATTGTTGAGGATAACGCCTTAGGTAAGGCAGAAATAAAACAGCTTGGGTTCAGACAGCAGCCAGTACAGAGGAAACTTCTCCACCTTCTATTTGTATTGAGACTTTTTTATGTCACAAAAGCAGCTAAAGGGATGGTGTATGTGGTCAGAAGTAAAGGCAGTACTGCTGGGCTTGATACAAGTTGTGGCAAGGGAGATTTATGTCCACTAGGTATCAAATTTAATATTGGGAAACCTGCTCACAGAGAACTGCACACATTCAAAACACAGCAAGTGGAAAAACTGCACAAACCAGGATATTTTAACAATGGCGTACCTCATGGAAGAACTGGAAAGTTCAAAGTGAAAGACAAAAGGGAAAGCCAAACCTAGAAAAATAGTTTTATGTTCTAATCCTGAGGGAAGTTGCTCCTTTGCTCTCTAACAGATTTGGAGCCTTGGATGCCATTTTTCTTGCAACACTGTGCAGGGTATTCAATACAAAAAAAAGCAAGAAAGCGCTGGGAACAAGGAGAATTTAATTGGCAAATATAGGATCTATTTTTGACCTCTGGAAGAGGCTAACAGACAAACTGGCAGACTCACCACTCCCTTATGCCCTCAAAGAAAATTTGGGTGCTTGCTGGAATCTAAACTTCCCGCTGATGCATATGTTGGCAGGCTAAGTATGGGCATTTGGGGAGTGTCCTGCAAGCTGTGCCTGACAGGGTTTTGCTAGACTGTCAAAGTGCCTCTGCCAGCCCAGAGATCTGCTCCTCTTCCCCCCAACAAGGACCCCATTTCTCACCAGCAGCAGAATTGATGGATTCCCAATGAGAGCCAGAGCAGTCGACAATTTTCTGTTGGTGCCATAACTGCACATAGAGGTGACTCTGTCTTTGTAGGCCATCAGATTCAGCCGGTGGAGAAGCTGGAGTACAACCTATGGGAGCAAGAGTACAGCTTTCACAACAACGTCCAGGCATAAATTACCACGCGCATATCTATTTATTGAAAGACTAATTGAATCAACATAAAGACTCTCAGTAACTGGAAAATGCTCTAAGTCAAGCCCCAGTGTTACTCACTCCTTTGATCTCTCTCTCTGGGATGCCATGGAGCCTAGCATAGTAATACATGTGCTCTTCCACTGTCAGCAAGTCATCCAAGGCATCTTCTTGAGGACAGTAGCCAAAGAGTGACCAGTGTGCCGCACTGATGTCATTCAAGGACCTGCACAAGGAAGTCAGCAAGTCATTTTAAACACACTGAATTGCCAATGCACTTTGGAATCAGACAGGAGAGAGGAAAAAAGAACCCTTTCTCCTGCTTCCTACCCCTTCCCTAACCTGCTTCCTACCTCTTCCCTAACCCTTGAAGGAAAATGCTATGAGTTTGCAGACCTACAGCTTTTAGGCCCTCAGTTCTGCAAAGGAAGAATTGTATTTGAGACATCTGATAGCCACGATGTCTAGTACATAGCTCTCCAATTACTGCCAGCACTTCAGATGGCACAGTTGCCACCAAGCCTACTCCTGTTAAAGAGCGCTTTGAGATGGGTCCTACTGGTGTCCAGATACTAGCTCAGAAGTGGGATGACACTCAGCTGAGGATCCGAGTCTGATCCCATTTGCAATGGAATGAAGCGAAAGAAACACCGAGAACAGCAGAGGTGACAGCAAAATGCAAACCCTAGGGAAGCAGCCATACCATCTTCAAAGGATTAAATTCCCTGCCTTATTTATTTTTGCTCTGTTTTGAAAGTTTTGTTTTGCTTCAGACTTTTACATTTCTTTTCCTTTGCCATCCAGCCTTAAAAACTGCTCCCAGGATGATTTGCTCATGCGCTGCCCCCAGAAATCACATCCTCCATACCCAGAATGATCCTGGACCCGCAACCTTCCACTGGATGCTCCGATATCGCCTGTCAGCATCTTAAAGATGGTCGTCTTTCCAGCTCCATTCACACCAAGCAAGCCAAAGCACTGGGTTGTGGGAAAGAAAGGTAGAAAAGTAACCATGTTGTATTTATAATACAGAAATACTGCTCCAAGATGAGTGCTCAGTGCATCTTGTCTCTTCTTTTCTCTGGACCCTTGAGCAAGATGAATTGCAAGAGCGGCAGAGGTGCTCAGAACATACGAACATTATAACGGAGGTTGTTTATGGTGCAATATACTGCACTGCAGCTTATATTAGGACCGTTTGTTTAATACGGTGAAGAATCAAGGATGTATCCCTAATAGAGTCATTCCTTTTACTGCAAGGTGCGTTTTTGCAGCGAGCTCATCTGACAGGCCAAATCCTGATCATCTAATTTGTGCAAAGCCTCCCATTGACAGGAACAGAGTTATTCATAGGAATGAGGTGAGTGAGGTTTGTGCTGTCATTGGTAAAACCTTAATGCAACACAAGATTTTGTCAAATAATCTCACTAATGCACTACATTAATAAGATTAAGAACTGGCTCCCTGTAGTGCAGTTCAGTATCTCATGCTAAAAATCTATGTTTTATTGCTAAGGTTGGAGATATGCAGTTGCGTGTTGCATAAGCAATTACCATTGTGCTGATAATTACTATTATTTTGATATCATTAGTACAGAGCAGCTGATGTGAAAATCCTCACGTGTTGGGCCCATTGCAGATGCACAGCATCAATCCAAGGCTCTTCCCCACCTCGAGGTCTGTGCAGGGACAGTATCTGTGTACAGTCTGCAGTGCAGGGCCATGGCCTCTGCTGACACCAGCATCGGGCTGACTTTTGCCAGAAGCTAGAAACCTCGATGCCAGTTGTGGCTTGAAAAAAATCCTCTGCCAGAAAGATCGGCACCACAGTCTCCACATGAGGCTGCTGTCCTCCTGCCCAGCACCCTATATCCTTTCATATGCCCAGTATCTCAGTGGGACCCAGGCAATTAAAAAAATCAGGTACCAAGGATTACTTCCAAGCTTCCCCACAAGTCAGGTGCACAGCCAGAGGCAGGATCTGGTCTCCAGAGGCCCCATGAACTTTTCTTTGGGTCTCAGAGGTGCTCTGTGTGCTCCTATCTTTTCTCTTCTCATGAGTCAGTGTTTTTGCAGGTAACTGTACTGACATGACCAAAGAATCTTATTTTCTTTAGTTTTAGGTCTTGATTCATGAAAATGTATGTTCAGCTGAAGTGATTTGTCTTTCCCTGATGGGAAATACAAGCAGATAAGCCTGACTCACTGTCTCCCATGCAGTTTAGGTGAATAATTGCAACTGGACAAATGGTGCTGTCTTCATTTACCATATGGTAGTCCACAGTGACCCCCCCAAAACTGCACTGTGCTAGGCGCTGTACAAACACAGCATGCAGACATTTTGCTCTGAATACAGCTCCATCACTGCCCCATCCACTTTATTTCTTTCTAGGGTCTTCACAACTGTCACTTGGTGTCTCAAATCCACCAGGAGCCTTTAGTCACTACCATAACTCCAAGAATCAATAAATAAGGCAAAGGAAGGAAGGAAGAGGTCAGAGCAGAAGAAACCATTACAGTTATGCTGGGACAGTGACAAGGACTGGGAGAGAAGATGACAGTGGTACTGTGGAACAGTTCCACTTTCCCTCCCCAGGGCAGAAGGTGCCCACAGCCTTTTCCCCTTGCTTACCTCTCCAGCAGGA